AGAAAAAAGCCGGAAGTGGCGCTGTGGCTCAACTGGTAGAGCGCTAGCCTTGAGCTGAAGAGCTGAGGGACAGCGCCCAGGCCCAGAGTTCAGGCTCCACGACCGGACCAAAAAAAAAAAAAAATAGAAGTGGAGCTGTGTCTCAAAGTGGTAGAGCACTAGCCTTGAGCAGAAGAGCTCAGGGTCAGTGCCCAGGCCCTGAGTTGGGGTCCCCTACGACTGACAAAAAAAATGCTTTTCTTATTTATAAGATATTAAAATAAACATACATCTAGTATTTACTGAAATGCCCTATTGCAAAGTAAAAACTTATTTACCATATTTTTAATCTCTTGCTCTGATTTACAGATTTTTTATAAAATTGTTTCAATTGTCAAAATAACTTCAATTTATGAGAGTTTTCATATGTATGGAAATGAGTAAATTTCTACCATAGTAAAGGTATTATCTATGTAATGTATCTCAAAACGTTAAAATCCAAACTTGTATTTTAGTTTGACTTAAAAAAATCTGTAATTAATTACCTAGAGTTCTTTATATGTTTGCACATATTTCCATAGAGTTTTCCATGAGTTTTTTGCATATGCTCATTATTATAAGCCATAAATCTAGACCTAGACCCCCAGAGTTACAAGGAGAATTAAGAATGAGAACAATTGGGTTGGCCCTAATTTATGGCATATTCTTGCTATTGATTTCTCTAATGTATAAGCTAATTCAGAGAGTACCAACCAAAAAAAATTTGTTGGAAGAAAAAGTCTAGTGGAAAAGGACAAGGGAATTGTGACTTGACCAATCTGCTGTGCAACTTAGATCAAGGTCCTGAATATATGGCTATAGACAGACACATGGAGAGAGAAGAAAAGTCTTCTAGTATTAGTAGCATTTGGAATTTACAGCAAAGATCCATGTTTTATCACTTAAAATACCAAAAGCATCTCAGGCTGCTTCTCACCTTGAGGAAAACAACCATGTTACATCCAGAAACTCATTACTTTAGGAATACTTAATAAGTTCTAGGCATTGTGGCTTACATTTAATTGTAACTATTCAGGAGGCTGAGATCTGAGAATTGAGAGTCAAAGCCAGCCTGGGCAGAAACGTTGGTGTGACTCATCTCCAATTAATCACCAAAAAGTCAGAAATGGAATTGTGGTTCAAGTGATAGAGCTCTAACCTTGAGCAGAAAAAGCTAAGGGACAACCTAGGTCCTAAGTTCAAGCCCCAGTACTGCCATATAGAAAGAATACTTATTAAATATTTGCTAGTCAGACACTTCACTAATGAAACTACTATATGTTAATGAATTACATGTTTCCTGCCCTTGTTTTCCATGAATTAGTCATCTCTCAGTTTTTTACCTCTACTTATGCTTCACAAATTGGCATATGTTTGGTTCTCATTTCAACAGTAGTAAAATGTCTGCATAATTGTCTTCTGATTTTTCAAATGTGTCAGCAGTACCATTTTTCAGTGTCCTAACCTAAAATAAGAAAGTGTGAACCACTTTCTTTCATGTGATTATTCACAGTGTCTCCTGTGCCCTAAGTGTCAGTGATCGTGAAAGCAGCTTGCAGTTGCACTCTATAGCTTCTTACTCCATTGTCTATTCTGACCATGTGCTTTCAGTGACCAGCAGCAGGAAGTTTTACTGAAGATGCTTTGTTGTTTTGTTGTTTTTTTTTTTACCATATAAAAAGCTTTTTTCCAACCATAGCATAACAGGATGTTGAATGACAGAGGTAATGTTTTTTTTTTTCCTGCCATAACGGCATAATTTCTACCACAGGAATTATGCACATGTATCTGTTGTGAAAAGAGAGTTTTACCATCTCCATGTTGGAAGTCCATGTGGCATGAGGAAGTCTTTTCCCCAGTTTTTATTTTTGTTAGTGTTGGTGTTGTTGCTGTCCTTTTTATAACATCCATATTTTCACTCAAATGAGAATATTTACAATTGATTAGAGCTTGCTTAGTTGTTCATCATCAGTGAACTTTTCATCTGAATGTCTGTTCACTACACTATGGAAAACAGTCTCTCAGTTGTTTTTAATCATTTGTTGTATCTTTAAGGAGTAGTGGATTTATGGTTTATGTGAGGTCTGTGTGTCAGTTACTGGCAGCTGTGCTGTGTGTGCACTCTCATTGTGGTTATGATATCATGATACTTATTTTATCTCCTTTAAATGATAATATAATAATTCTTTTTTTAATAATTAAACTAATTTAGTAAATTCAAGATGGAGGCGCTTTCCTACTGATTATGCTTCCACCTCAGAAGATGAATTTGGATCAAACCGTAATTCCCCTAAACATACTCGTCTACGTACTTCTCCAGCCCTGAAAACCACTCGCTTGCAGAGCGCTGGATCAGCAATGCCTGCTAGTTCTTCATTCAAGCACCGAATTAAAGAACAGGAAGACTACATCCGTGATTGGACTGCTCATCGAGAAGAGATAGCCAGGTTGGTTCCCATCAATACTTATTTCAACAAGATTCGCTTTTGCTTGACTTGTACTACTAATAAGCATTCTGGGGTGCACAGGTATGAAAAACTCAGTTTTGTCTGGAGAATTACTTGCCATCAGCTTTTTTCCTTTGTTTTAAAATTTTCCTTTTTTTTTCCATTTATTTAAATGGCTGTGCTACCAACACAGTATAGAACATTGTTGTAGAATTAACTGGTTTTAGTTTCTTTCCCCCTTAAAATTTCTAATAGAGATGATGATGAGCAAATTTAAGTTTTGAAAAGTAGTATCAGCTCTACCTAATTAAGAATTCTACAGGAAGCTGATCTCTTTTAACTTCCAAGGAAGTAATCATCTGTAAGATATGTTGCTATTATTCTCTTGGGAAACGTAGAGTAAATAAATTTTCCCTTTGTTTTTGTACTTTGTTTTTGCTGTTGTTGAGAGCAGAGTCTCTCTAGCCCAGGTTGCCCTCAGACTCACACACAGCTTCCATTATACTTGGATGAGTATTTTGAGTATTAGATGACTTTGATATAACTTTTAGATTGTATACAAAAAGTAAAATTCATGCTGCAGATGTGATTAGGTAGTAACTTATTTTGGTTGAACATTAAAGAGCAGTTAGGGCCAGATACCAGTGGCTCATACCTGTAATCGCTAGCTACGCAGGAGGCTGAGATCTGAGGATCGTGGTTCAAAGCCAGCCCAGGCAGGAAAGTCCATGATTCTCTTATCTCCAATTAAGGACCAGATGACCAGAAGTGGTGCTGTGGCTCCAAGTGGTAAAGCACTAGCCTTGAGCTGCAGAACTCAGGGACAGCACTCAGGCCCAGAATTCAAGCCCCACAACCAACCAAAAAATAAATAAAATAAATAAATATAATGTGTGTTTGTCTTTGTTTAATTTGTAACAAAGCCTTCCAGACAGATGTGAACAGTAAATCCACTTTGCAACCCAGAACTTATTGTTGAGTAAGAGATTTTGTAAGAAGGAATCTGATTCCTACAATAGTTGGCAATGTGAGGGTTTGTTAACTCACACAGGTAGGCTCTGAGAATAAAGTTGATGTAAAAGCTAAAAATATAAAATAAAGATCAGTTATAATCAAACTGATGTAAATCATAGTTCAAACATAAGACTTGAATTTAATATTTGTGAGATACTAAACTTACTTTGGTGTGTCATATGTTACTAAACATTTTTGTTGCATATATGCTAAAATTACTTCTTCCTTTAGGATATTAAGTTTAATTCTTGACAGTATTAATAAACATGCATATGATAATAATCCACAAAGCTGGGCGCCAGTGGCTCACGCCTGTCATCCTAGCTACTCAGGAGGCTGAGATCTGAGGATCATGGTTCAAAGCCAGCCCGGGCAGGAAACTCCGTGAGACTCTTTATCTCCAATAAACCACTAGAAAACCGGAAGTGGTGCTATGGCTTAAGCGGAAGAGCGCTTGCCTTGAGCTGAAGAGTGCACGGACAGCACCCAAGCCCCCAACAAATAAATAAATAAATAATCCACAAATGGGTTTACAAACTTTTACTGTAGTTCAATGATGTTGTTTTTGTCTTTTTGTTGACGTCTGTGAATTATTTTTTTTCTGGCCCATTAATTTAAAGTAGGCTTTTAGTCCTTTATGTTTTAGGACTGTTCACTTGCACTGCTCTACTTTTGAGAGAACTTAACTTTCTAATCTCTTTGTACCATTTTATATATCTTTGCTTTATTAAATAAATGGATCCTTAAGGTATTCACTGAAACTTTTTATGTCAGTTGCTGTAGTTAGAAAAAAGGCTTCAAGGAAGTGGCACTGTGGCTCAAGTGGTAGAGCTAAAGAGCTCAGGGACAGCACCCAGGCCCAGAGTTCGTCCCCACAACTGACCAAGAAAAGAAAAGAAAAAAGCCTCCAAGATCTGTAGATCATCATGGACCCACAAAATGTTTGTAGAGAAAAACCTACCACATTTTCTGTTCTGGTCATAATTGGCCTTTTCTCTTTCCCATGAGGAAATGTCCAGTTACATAAGGTCAAGGAAGGCCCAGAAAACGAGACTGTGTGTCTCTTCTCAGCCCACCTCTGTAGGCTGTAGTAAGAAGAATTAATGGCCTTGTTCTCCTGGGAAAGTGCACAAAGGCATGGAATGAGTAGCAGCCAAAAACACTTTTTCCCTTGGTTTCATTTTGCTCTGTGTGCGGTACCACTACCTTCCTTATGTGTTATCTGTCTGCAGGGCTCCAGAACACAGCTGGGCAGCCTAATGCTGCCTATCCTGCCTCACCCCCTTTCTTTGCCAGTAGTAACTTTTAGAATCTTAATTTTTCAAGCCACATATTATAGCACCATAGAACTGTTTTTTTTTTCATGGAAAACAGAGGACAAGTATGAAGAATACAGTATAAAAGGAAAGGAAGTCAATGTTGATTGTTTACATTTTTATTGGGTAGTAGATAAGTTAGCATGATGTGAGAAAAATTATTTTCAAATACTTTAAATCATAAACTAAAAAATGTGAAATCTATTCTGTACAATTTATTCTATACACATACATGATTGAAAGATAAGCCAGTGTGTAATATTTTATCTTTATGAGTTGAGAGCATTATTTGCAAAAGTTGTAACCTGTTTTTGAATGCCAATACAGAACTGTTTTCAATTAAATTTACTTGTATATAAGAGATTGATTGATCACACACACATATGCACACACATTCCTGGTCAACTACATATATACATTACATATACATATACTTAAACATATACACACACAGAGTTCCCCATCAACTCAACAGAGAATTTTTAAGCACTCCGATAGTGCTTAGCCTCAGACCATGAAGATGACTTTCAGTATAAATATATTTAGTAGGGCTGGGAAGGTGGCTCAGTGGTAGAATGCTTGCCTTGCTTGCATGAGGCCCTGGGTTTGATTCCTCAGCACCACATAAGCAAAAAGAAAAAAGCCACAAGTGGCGCTGTGGCTCAAGTGGTAGAGCGCTAGCCTTGAGCTGAAGAGCTGAGGGACAGAGCCCAGGCCCAGAGTTCAGGCCCCATGACCAGACCCCCCCCCAAAAAAAAAAAAGAATATATTTAGTAGAGTCCAAGGTGTATGTCTGATGTGTCCTTGTGTTGTTATAGGTCAGAGATTTGAAATATATCATGTTTTGCTCAAAGAAGTACAAAGATAGTTACTAGATGAGCCAACTAATGCTAGCACAGAGCTGGCCAAGTAGTAGGAGCTGCTGAGTGCCAAGTCATGGGTGTGCATATTTTGTGTGCTTGGTGGGAGCTTTGAAGAATGTGAAGAGCAAGCTAACTTCAAATCTGCATTAAAGAGCACTAACTGTGAAGGCAGTGTATAGTACTGTCTGAGAAAAGAGAGCTTATTATAGATAGACTCATTACAGACTTATATCTGTAATCTTAGCTACTCAGGATGCTGAGATAGGAGGATCATGGTTTGAAGCCAGCCAGAGCAGAAAAGTATAAGACTCTTAATCTCCAGTTAACTACCATAATGCAAAAATAGAGATGTATTACAAAGGAAGCAAATATAGTCACGAGTGAGAAGGTTGTGTTCTTTTATAATTGGTTCCTTCAGCAGAATTGGAAGGACTGGATAGTCAGATGATAGAGTCTCCTGTAGGCAGTGTCGTCTGTGCATGATGTTAAGTGCCTGGAGCCATGTGCCCCTTGCTCTCAGGGAGGAAAATACAGGGAGACATCTAGCGTGCTTCTGAATGCATAAACAAAATACTTAGAGCTCTAGTTAAATGCAAATAATCCAGTTACCAAATTATTTCAGGTATTAATATAGCATAGGGTCCCTTATAAACATATTTAATAAGACAGTGTTGCAAGTTTAATGACTTTAGTAATTTTGAAGAACTGATGGCCACAATGAAGTCTGGGAAACCTCTAGCAACCATAATGTTATTTCTCTGGATCATAAAAATCACCAGTCTCACTACTACCCCTGGAGTTTATTCCTGAATTTATCATTGAAACAACTCAGTTACTGACAGGTCAGTGAAAATAGGATGGTTTCTTCCCATCCTGGTTCAGAAACTTCTTAAATTCTCTCAGATCCCTCCCTGTGATGACATCATTAGTCATTCACACATGTTGTATATATGTAAAGGCCTATCTCTACTTCAGAGTGTCAAGCTGTTAGTTATCTTGTAGACTATTCAGAATGTAGTTTTCATTAACATTAATTTCAGGACTTAAGGTCTAAGACTTTTTAGTACCAAAATAGCTAAGACCACTTCCAGAGAACCATGAGTCATGATTATATACAGCTTCCAGAAATAGTTCTGCAGCGATTTTGTTTCTAGAGCTGGTATTTAATTGGAATTAAACTTCTTTCCTAAAATGACCATCAGGATCAGCCAAGATCTCGCTCTCATCGCTCGGGAGATCAACGACGTGGCGGGGGAGATCGACTCGGTGACGTCGTCGGGCACGGCCCCCAGCACCACAGTAAGCACTGCTGCCACCACCCCCGGTTCTGCCATAGACACTAGAGAAGAGGTAGGAGATCTTCATGGAGAGATGCATAAGGTTCTTCCTTTTCTTTATTTCTTTTGCTTTTCGCTTTTTGCTTAAGTTCTTTTACTTCTGTCCACCCCTCCTGTCTGCACGAGTCTCCGCATTTTCCAACTCGATTTAGCAAAATCATTTGGTGTTTGTAACAAGAAGTAAAGGCTAAAAGGCTAACATTTGGTCTACTACTAACCTAAAGATAGAAAGCCATTTCCATATATGCATTTTGCTTGCTTATTCCTGGTCCGCAACTATCCTTGAAATGTGAATATACATGGTGTCTGAAAAGCACACCAAAATCTGACAAATTAGTACATAAAGGGTCAGTAAACTTTGACTATGATAACACCCCAGTTCTCTTTGCTGGTTCACAAGGCAATATATCTTAAGCACCAAGTGAAAAAAATTACAGTTTTCAATACTTTAAATACTAACATATACACACAAAGGTATTTTATAACAATGTATGTGTACATACATATATAAATTCTCAGATTATTTCTGTAAACTATGGGACATAAGTTATCACAGTAGACTGTTGACCAGCCCACATCAAGGCCTTGTATGGTAAAATTTCAGGTGGCACTGTCTGCATAGCATTGTTCCAGAAAGTGCCTACAACATACCAAGCTCATTGGAACAGTGGTCTCTTGTTCCTTGATATCAATAGAGGATTGGTTCCAGAATCTCCCTCCTCTCCTTACAAATAGAAAAATCTAAGGAAATTCAATCTCTTACAGAAAATGATTTAGTCACCTAGCCAATTTATGTGCGACCTTCCACACTATACTAAGGCAATGTGATAACTATTGCTGGAGAATGACAGAGAAAGTTCTATGAATATTCATAGTTTCCACTGTACTTTCTGGCCATGTTGTCTATTTTGATCTGGGCAGAAAGGCAACCAACGAATTGACATGTAAAAGAATTAGAAGGTCTAGAAGCATAGCGCAAGTGGTAGAACACTTGCCAAAAGTGTGCCAAAAGTATGAATGAGCAAGCCTCTAATCCCAGTGTTTGGGTAGAAAGATTGTGAATTCAAGGCCAGCATAGCAAAACCCTGTCTTAAACAAAACAACAACAACAAAATTGATGTATAGATGAATGAATTTATTTTCATATGATGTAAAAAGTGGAAATCATGTTTATGGTTTTCAGTGATTGAAAAAATAGAAAGTAATAAGTCATACCATGAAAATTGTATGAAATTCACATTTCAGGGTCCATAACTAAAGTTTTTTTTTAAATTACATTTGGCACAGTCATCTGATTAACCATTGACTGGAGCGGATGTGAGACCACGGCTGCACGGCTGCCTATAAAGCCTAGAAGATACTTCCTGTCCACTCACAAAAACTTCTGTCAGCCCTTGAGCTTGGTGGCTCACTTCCTTAGTCTTATTAAATAATATTCAAAGTAGTAGCCAAAAACAGCTAGCCTTGTTGATGTTTAATTCTGGTAAACTGTTTTTCTTCTGTTGCTTTTTGTCACATTTCTTCTTTCATGTAGTTCTCTAATAATCACTTTTTTGTCTGTTTTTCTTTCATATGTTGTCTAACTTAATAAATGATATTTCATCAGTCTGTGTAGAGTTTTGTTACCACCTGATCTATTGTAACTGTAAATGAAATCATCCTTATTGGTTAAAAAACCTTGGTGGCAAGACATACACAGGTGTCTGGTACATTTAAAATGATGGTATTATTTTCTGTTTTCTAACTAAAGTTTCCCTAACATGGTTAACATCCACCCAGACCCAGTAAGATTATGACGCATTTCATTCACTAGAGTCCATTTCCCTTTCTGTTAGTGTTTCACCCCTCTTCAGTAAACCTGGCTTACTTAGTCTAAATGGTGTCTTATTGGCACTTCAGCATATGGTAGCATATTTTTACTGGCGTATGGTTTCTGTATCATTATTTAACTAAAGAACAAAATACTTGGTTTTCCTTTTGTAAACTTAATTAGAATATGCAATATATGTATCCTATGAAGAAATTTGACACTTGGATTTGGATTGGACAAAACAAAATAGGAAATTAAAAAAGTAATACTATTTTGTAAGACAGCATGAGTAAGTGTTCATCTACATGGTGTAGGTATTTTCTTGGTAGCATCTCTTTGTCAGTTGAAAAAAAACTCTTATTCATGAAAGAATTGAATTTAGCCTAGTTATACATGTTGGATCTGAAAATAAAATCAATGTAGATGAGCATCTGTTTTATTAAGGATTTACTTTGAAGTGCTTATTAAAAATTAATTGGTTTATTGAAGATATCCTGTTTCTGTTACTATAGAAATGGAGTTAACTTCTGTCACATCATAAAAATTATATTAGTGTCTAAACTCTTCAAAGTTACCCTGTTCTCATAAGGGTCTGCTTTTGTCTCATTAGTTGGTTGATCGTGTTTTTGACGAAAGTCTCAACTTCAGAAAAATCCCTCCGTTAGTTCATTCTAAAACTCCAGAAGGAAACAATGGTCGGTGTGGTGATTCGAGATCTCAGCCAGTAGAGCCTCCTGATCACCTCACAATTACCAGACGGAGAACTTGGAGCAGGGATGAAGTAAGTCAGCCACTAACCTTAAGTGGCAAAGGAATCATGTCTGGGAAGTGGGCTGAGGAGAAGAAAGTGGTTACCTTGTAGATAGAAGGCACTGCGTCCACATATCACATCATATACATATATATGTGTATATACACATATATATGTATATAAACATTCTAATAGGAGATAATGTCTTAAATGACACAATTTTTCACTTTAAAACATTGATAAATATATATATATATATATATATATGGACTTTTATCTATCAAAAAAAAAAAAAAAGACTTTGGCTCACACCTGTAATCCCAGCTGCCCAGGATGTTGAGATCTAAAGATCAAGGTTCCAGGCCAGCCCAGGCAGTAAAGTTCATAAGGACTCTTGTCTCCAAATAAGCACCAAAAAAGCCTGAAGTGAGCTGTTGCTCAAGTGGTAGAGCATTAGCCTTGAGCACAAATGTTCAGGGACAGTGCCTAGGTCCAAAGTTGAAGCCCCAAGATCACTGCAAACAAAACAAAACAAAAAACTTTTAACACCAGACACTAATGGCTCATGCCTCTAATCCTAGCTACTCAGGAGACTGAGATTTGGAGGATGGCAGTTCAAGTCCAGCCCAGGCAGAAAAGTTCTCTAGACTCCATCTCCCAGATGGCCAGCAATAGCAGAGCTGATGCATTGATCAAGAGGCAAATAATGAAAGAGTATTGCAAGAAAAGAGTTGAGAAAGGAATTGATCATAGATGGATACTTCAAAAATCCTATTGCAAAGAATGGGACCTGAAGCCCCAGGCACCAGTGGCTCACACCTATAATCCTAGCTATTCAAGAGACTGAGATGTAAGTATCTCAGTTCAAAGCCAGCTCTGGTAGGAAAGCTTGTGAGACTTTTTATCTCCAATTAACCACAAAAAAGCCAGAAGCAGAGTGGTGACTCTAGTGGTAGTGTTAGCCTTGAGCATAAAAGCTCAAGGATAACTCCTATGCCCTTAGTTCAAACTCTAGAACCTACTCACACACGCACACGCACACACACAGAATGGGACTTCGAAAGTTTATGTCTTCGAAGATGTGTGTCTCTCCCTAATGGGAGAGTGTGGGGGCCAGCTCCAGCACCACGCTCACAGCGTACTGCTTATACAGCATGCTTTTACTCTCACGCCTGTGTGGGCATTTGTTCTTGTTATCCAGAAAAGGGCTCATTCTTTATCTCACCTAATTCTGTGCTGAGATTTTTCAGACACAGCTGTTCCTGTAAATGTAATAAAATTGTTTTATTTATAAAGAAGAGAGAGAGTGTGTGTGTGTTATATTGGGGGGGCAGTGTCAGTTGTGGGGCTTGAACTCTGGACCTGGGCGCTGTACCTCAGCTCTTCAGCTCAAGGCGAGTGTTCTACCACTTGAGCCACAGCTCCACTTCCAATTTTCTAGTGTTAATTGGAGATAAGAGTCTAATGGACTTTCCTGCCCAGTGTGACTTTGAACCGTGATCCTCAGATCTCAGCCTCCTGAGTAGCTAGGATGACAGGCATGAGCCACCAGCACTTGGCAAGTTTACATTTTTTAAAGAGGATCAAATTATGTAATTGATAGTTGTTACAAGGTTGACATCAGAAATTTATTTAATGCATGTAACACCAAACTATGCTTTATGAAGTAAAAAAGAGAAATATCATGTTCTGTTAAAATCCTGCTCTTTTACATTCTTTCCTAATTTGGGAATGTCTTCCATTTTGTTAAATTTTCACCTGCTGGGCAGGTGCTCTACCAATTGAGCCATCCCCCTGCCTTTTATTTTTCAAATACAGTTGTGAATTTTTGCAGGGGGCCAGCCTAGAGTATGTTCCTCCTACTTAAAGCCTAACTGAGATTGCAGGTACATACCACCTTCGTTGGTTGAGATTAGATCTTGCTTTTTCCCCCTAGGCTAGCCTTGAACCATGGTCCACCTGATCTCTGCCACCCATAGCCTGGATTACAGGTGTGAAGCCACACCCAGCTCCATGTTACACTTGTACCTGAAGACCCATAAATATCACTATACTTAGATCTATCCTTTTCTTTGTTATTTTTCTCATCCTAAGTAAACCATTTTGCCCTCCACTGAATTCACATCCTTGTCATTAAGTTCCATTTTTCCCATTGACCTTTTTTTTTTTTTTTTTTAATCGGTCGTGGGGCCTGAACTCTGGGCCTGGGCACTGTCCCTCAGCTCTTCAGCTCAAGGCGAGCGCTCTACCACTGGAGCCACAGCACCACTTCTGGCTTTTTCTGCTTATGTGGTACTAAGGAATCGAATGCAGGGCCTCATGCATGCAAGGCAAGCACTCTACCACTGAGCCACCTTCCCAGCCCCTAATGACCTCTTTTTTATTATGTCACCCTTAGTGAACTAACTTTGCTTATAATTCTTACAGCACTGCCTCACAAGATTTCCTATTTGCTCCTGAGTCGCACATATTTTCTATGCGCTGTTGGCTATGTGCTGTGGGCCGTTAAAGCAGCTGTTCAGACAATCTTTGTTATTCTAGGTTTTCTTATAGTCAAGATATAGTCCTGAAAACACAGACAGCTGATTTTGGAAGCCATGTACTCAAAGTCAATCCTTTTTTTCTGCCTTTTGTAATATAGAAGAGAACTAGAGAGACTGCAACCTGCGAGGCCCGCAGCTGACCTGCTTTTCTTTTTCTGAATAACACAGCTGTGCACGTTGCCTGCACAGGGGGGCTGCGTTGAAGGAAAGTCCGCAGCCCCTAGGAAGCTAGCGCGTCCTGGCCCTGTGGCCCTCTGTAGGGGCTGATTCCTGGCCACATCTCAACAGCTGCACCAGCCCCATCATCAAAACTTACTATTTTGAGTACACCTTTGAAAATTTCTCTCTCCAGCGAAACTCTGTCTGAAAAACAAGCCATGTGTCCCATTGATTTTTACATGGATATTCCTTGGTGAAAGATAAATAATAACTTTAGATCCCAGAGTTACCTGAATTACCTTTTTTTTGATCATTTGGATTGAGAGGGTGATAGTAATTGAAGGGAGATAAAATGGATTGCTTTTTGAACATGGAAACCAAAAGAATGGAAACTACAAAAGCTGTTCAACAAAGAATTCCTTTGTTAGTATTCCTGACTCTCAGTTTAGTACCATGATACTCTAATTACTTCATTGTTCTGATTTTTCCAGTTAAAATTAGCATGAGGATGAGAAACAGCGTAAGTTGTGACTAGTATTTTTCGAAGCCAACCTCCTCTGTGCTGTGTGTGTTTCAGGTCATGGGGGATAATCTGCTGCTGTCGTCCGTCTTTCAGTTCTCTAGAAAGATACGACAGTCTATAGACAAAACAGCTGGAAAAATAAGGTGCGTCTGTTCCCCCAATCATGCTTTATATCACTTCTTCCTTTTTATTTTTTTCTTTGTTGTTTTGCTTTTTAAAATTTATTATTACTGGGTTGGGAAGGTGGCTGAGTGGTAAAGTGCTTGCCATGCATGCATGAGGCCTTGGGTTCTATTCCTCAGCACCACATAAGCAGAAAAAAGCCAGAAGTGGTGCTTTGGCTCAAGTAGTAGAGTGTTAGCCTTGAGCTGAAGAGCTGAGGGACAGCGCCCAGACCCGGAGTTCAGGCCCCACAACTGACCAAAAAAATATATATATTACTATGTTTAGTTGTACAAAGGGGTCTCTTTTAAAAAAAACTTATTGTAAAGGTGATACACAGAGGGGTTACAGTTATATATGGCAGGTAATGAATACATTTCTTTTTGACCAATGTCATCCCCTCCCTCATTTTCTCTCATTTTTCCCTCCTAACTCCCCCTCCCACCAAGTTGCATAGTTCATTTCCAACATAGTGTCTAGTATCACTGCTGAGTTAGTTCACATTTTGTCCTGCCATATTTTTGTGTTTCCCCTCCCCCTTTCCAAGTCACATAAACATGCATACAAGACAAAAGGTACAGAAATAAAAAACAGCAACAAAAGGGGGAAACGAGGAAGAAAAAAAAGAACAATACTAAAATAAACCATTTCTTGGAGTTTATGTTGATAAGCATCATTTTGTACGATCATATGCACAGAGCTATTGAGTGAGCCAGACCCAAAGAAACATAGGTTGCCTAGTTTCCCCTCACTTCTAATTAGAATATGCCTATAAATGTACAAGTAAACCCAATTACATTTGGACATGATAAATTCAACAGGACTCTAAACATTCAGACTGAGACCAAAAGAGGTTGTTCTTAGGAGAGAACCACCTCTTCTTTTCTAAACCCATGCCTCCCTGCTGGGAGGGAGGAGGGTGACTCTGCGCTGCTACTCTGTGCTGTTCAGGCACAAAACAGATGTCTTCACTGTGAGAATGAATAGCTATAATTACTGAGACTAATTTTATTAATAAGAAACATTTCCTTCTTCACAAAAGAATAGTATGTTAAAATAACAGAGTCTGAGTGTCTGGCTCAACACATCCTTTTTTATAACAAATAACAGCAAAGTGCAGTGACTCATACCTGTAATCCTAGCTACTCAGGAGGCTGAGATCTCTGATGATCAAGGTTTGAAGCCAGCCATAGCAGGAAAATCCTTGAGACTTTTTGTCTCCAATTAGCCACCAAAAAGCCTCAAAAGTTTGTAAGTGGAGCAGATGGTAGAGCAGCAGTCCTGAGCAAAAAAACTAATGGAGTCAGGTGGCTCAAGTCTGTACTGTAATCCTAGCTACTCAGGAGACTGAGATCTCAGGATCACAGTTCAAAGCCAGCCCAGCTGGGAAAATCTGTAAGACACTTATCTTCAATTAATCACCAAAAAAGCTGGCAATGGAGCTGTGGCTCAAGTGGTAAAGCCCTAGCCTTGAGCAGAAAAGGTCAGAGAGAGCACACAGGCCCTGAGTTCAACTTAGGACTGATACCCAAAGCAAAAAAGGATTAGAAAGAAAAATGGCTGACGTGCTTCCTTGCAGGTGCAAGGGCCCTGAGTTCAAACTTCAGCACTGCCCAGAAGAAGTAATAGGAAGGTAAAAAGATTAAATCTTTCTGAAGATTATTAGTTACTGATAGGTTATTTTTATATTAAAATGTGATAGATTTTTAAAATATGAATCACTAAATGCTTCTGGTTTTTTCATTTACAGGATATTATTTAAAGACAAAGATCGGAACTGGGATGAAATAGAGAACAAGCTGAGAGCTGAGAGCGAGGTCCCCATTGTAAAAACCTCCAGCATGGTAAGTCACCTTGTGAGAACCCCAGCATGGCAAGTCACACTGTGAGAACCCCAGCGTGGTAAGTCACCTTGTGAGAACCCCAGCATGGTAAGTCACACTGTGAGAACCCCAGCATGGCAAGTCACACTGTGAGAACCCCATGGTAAGTCACACTGTGAGAATCCCAGCCTGGTAAGTCACACTGTGAGAACCCAGCATGGTAAGTCACACTGTGAGAACCCAGCGTGGCAAGTCACACTGTGAGAACCCAGCGTGGCAAGTCGGCATTCTGCTCAGACTCGTGCATCTGAACGTAGTGTGACAGGAAGCTATGTGGTGGTTTACATTGTCTCATGAGAAGGACTTACAGATCTTGGGATTTTATCCCTTCAGCTGAATGTGCAGAGTTAAAATGTTGATTTTTTTTTCCAAAGGCTCTGAAGGAGGCACCTTTGTGCTTCTTACTGTGATCCATCTCAATAATTGTCCATTACAAATAACTAACTCAAAATTAGAACCAAGCTTCAATACCAAATCGATGAGTTATTTTCATTTCATACAGTACTTGTCTCTTTCTCTAAAAAGACTGTACAGGGGGGTGGGGGGAGGATGGGATGGGAAGGGGAAACAAAGGAGGAGGCTACAATGCTTGATAAGAAATGTACTCATTATCTTGCCCATGTAATTGTA